AGAAAGAGAAAAGAGAAGAAAAAAAAGAGAAAGAGGGAGATAAAGAGAAAGAGAGAGAGATAAAAGAAAGAGAGAGAGTAAGAGAAAGAGAAAGAGAAAGATAGAGAAGGAAAGAAGAAAGAGATTGAGAGATAAAGAGATAAAGAAAATTACATCACAGTGATGGTGTGATATCAAGCCGGGGTTTGGGATTAATAACAAAAAGGCAGTTGTATGAAAAGTGAAGACGAAAGAAAGAAAGAAAAGAGGAATGCATATAATCCGTCAGTATATATAGATCTGTCTTTCTATCTATCTATATCTATCTTAACTCTAAGATCTAACGTTTGAGTTGAATAACGCTAAGGCAACGTTCTTTTAGGAAAATAGCATTCTTGTTCTCATAATTTCTCCGCATTTCATTTTTATTTTTACTTTTCTGCCACTAACCACAATCATTTCATTTCTTTTTCTCTTTTTTTCCCCTTTATTAGCGACAAATATACGATTTTCCTTTTCTATTTTCTCTTTATCTACTCATATTTTCACCTATTCCTGGTGTCACTAACCACAACATTGTTTTCTTTTTTCTATTAAATATTTTTCCACTCTTTTCCTTTGTCACTAACCACTATTATCTATTTTCTCTTTATCTACCTATTTCACTAAGCACTATATTCTTTTCTCTTTTTTTACTAGATATTTTTCCATCCTATTTTTCTATTATCTATTTTCTCTATAGTATTTTTTATCCCTTTTCCCTTTGTCACAAAGCACTCTATTGTTTTCTTTATTTTCTACTAAATATGTTCCCACATTTTCGCTTTGCCACTAACCACTATTATCTATTTTCTCTTTATCTACTTATGTCACTAACCACTATATTCTTTTCTCATTTTTTTATTAGATATTTTTCCGCCTTTTCTCTTTGCCACTAACCACTATATTCTTTTCTCTTTTTTTTACTAGATATTTTTCCACACTATTTTTCCATTATCTATTTTCTTTAGTATTTTTTTTACCCCCTTTTCCTTTGTCACAATCATACTATATTTTTCTTTATTTTCTACTAAATATGTTCCCACATTTTCCCTTTGCCACTAACCACTATTATCTGTTTTCTCTTTATCTACTCATTTCACTAACCACAATATTCTTTTCACTTTTTTCTACTAAATATTTTCTCACATTTTCCTTTTACCACTAACCACTATTATCTATTTTTTCTTTATCTGCTAATCTCAATAAGCACTATATTCTTTTCTCTTTTTTTAACTAACTATTTTCCCACATTTTCCCTTTGCCACTAACCACTATTATCTATTTTCTCTATCTACAAATTTCACAAACCACTATTTCTCTTTATCTACTCATTTCACTAACCACTATTTCTCTTTATCTACTCATTTCACTAACCACAATATTGTTTTCTCTTTTTTTAACTATTTCCCCACCTTTTCCCTTTGCCACTAACCACTATTATCTATTTACTCTCTATCTACTCATTTCACTAACCACTATTTCTCTCTATCTACTCATTTCACTAACCACTATTTCTCTTTATCTACTCATTTCACTAACCACAATATTGTTTTCTTTTTTTCTTTACTAACTATTTCCCCACCTTTTCCCTTTGCCACTAACCACTATTATCTATTTACTCTCTATCTACTCATTTCACTAACCCATATTTCTCTCTATCTACTCATTTCACTACACTACTATTTACTATTTCACTAACTATTGTTTTCTTTTTTTTAACTAAATATTTTCCCACCTTTTCCCTTTGCCACTAACCACTATTATCCATTTTCTCTCTATCTACTCTTTTCTCTTTTTTCTACTAAATATTTTCCCACATTTTCCCTTTGCATTTTCTCTTTATCTAATCATTTCACTAACCACAATATTGTTTTCTTTTTTTTTTAACTAACTAATTCCCCATCTTTTCCCTTTGCCACTAACCACTAACACTCCTCCAGGAGGGAGAGGGAGACACGAAAGAGAAACCAGAAGATGAAGTGGAACACCCGACGACGCCCCAAAGTCCCATGTTGAAGGAGACTGAGATGGCCAACGATGATTTCACCTTCAGCAGAACCAGTTCCTTGCAGCCTGTTTGATCACCTGAAAAAAGGGGGGGAAAAAGAGAAGAAAAAAAGGGAAATAAAAGGAGAGAGAGATAGGAATGAGAATAGGAAGAAAGTGTTCATGAAAAAAAATCTCACAGGAATGAGAATAGGAAGAAAGTGTTCATGAAAAAAAATCTCACAACCTGTTTGATCACCAGAAAAAAAGGGGAAAAAGAGATGAGAAAAGGGTAAATAAAAGGAGAGAAAGATAGGATATGAGAAGAGGAAAGGAAAGAGGTGACACACCCTTCATGAAAAAAAAAAATCACGCCTCTTGCAGCCTGTTTGATCACCTGAAAAAAAGGGGGAAAAAGAGAAGAGAAAAGGGTAAATAAAAGGAGAGAAAGATAGGAATGAGAATAGGAAGAAAGTGTTCATGAAAAAAAATTCTCACAACCTGTTTAATCACCAGAAAGAAGGGGAAAAAGAGATGAGAAAAGGGTAAATAAAAGGAGAG